ATTAAAAATAATTGAATCCTTGTAAAAAATGTTATTAATTATGAAAATAATTTGTAAATAATTGAATTCCTGTGAAATTTTTATTATTTATCAAAATAATTTAATGTTTGCTTAGAATTTTATCAACATTTTTTTTTAAATAATTGAATTCTTTTGGAATATTTTAGTAAAATATAGTAGGTTATTGAAAATCATTGAATTGAGAAAAATTTTTTGAAAATAATTGAAATTTTGCAAAGAATTTTATTAAAATTTTTGAAAATAATTGAAATTCAGAGAAGAATTTTATTATTTTTGAAAATAATTGAATTTCTGCAATCATTTGTAACTTCTCTAAAATTCAATTCTTTACAGTACTTTAATAAAAAAATTCCTGAATTTTTCCTGATTTTCCTGAAAAATTGTTTTTAGAGCAAAAAGTATTATCAAAAGAAAACCTGGCGCTAAAGATTAATTACAAATATTATTCCAATTATTATTATTTCTATCATCGCATTATTAATTCAATAACTATTTTCAAAGTATAGAAAAAAGTTTTGATTATAATTTGAAAATGAAAAAAAAAATTCTCTCGAGAGCGATCTGATTTTATTCTCACATGCTTGAAGAACTTTAAAGTTTTCGAATTTTCTTGAAATTTTCGGCAGAAACCGAAGGAAACCATGCAAAGGAAGTGGCGGTTCAGAAACTACCGCTGTTATCTAGATCCTTCAACATGAAAAGAGAATACGATGAGAAACTTTTGCACCTGTTTGCTTCAAGAATCGATTCGAGGTTTTCTGTTTCAAGCGCACAAAACCACCCACACTTTAAAAAAAAAAGGTTAAAAAGCTTCTTAATTAAGAATAATTACAATCAAGTCACACACAAGGCTAACACACAACGATAGCGTTATGTAGCATTTTTTTTTCTTTTGTAGAAAAATTTCTTTTCTTTTAAAAAATTTAAAAAGAAAACAATGACAAAAAAAAATGTTGCAACTCTCAAACGTGAATTTTTATGCCACAAGTTTACAAAAGCCCCACTTCTATTCTTCCTTTTTCTCTTGTTTTACTCTCTTTTTTCTCAACATCGGGAGTTGACTGTTTTTTTTCTTCTTTCTTTTTTTTTTCTTGACAACCATCAGAGAAAACCTCCCGAGAGTCCAGAGTAAATAAAAGCTCAAGCCTTCCAGCTATTAGCTTCACCAGACTCACTTCTCTTCCGGTTCCTTCACTTTCTAAAGCTCCAAGGTAAAGTCGACTTTAAACCGAAGGGACAAAGACGAATATGTCTACGTAATGGGAAATACTTCTGGATTTTTCTACTTTGAAACTACAAAATGGTACAAATCTCTTTGAAAACGTTTGATGTCGATTTTCTGTTTTCTTTTTTTTTGGGAAAATCAACTAGGATTGAATTTAATCTCTATTGAATGAAATCTACATTTATTGAATGAATCAATTTCATTTTCGTATAAATGGAAATTAGTAGAATTAATTATTGGAAAGCTTATGCAGAATTGAGGGAAATAAATTAGTTCCAAGTCCGACTAAAATTTAATTTGTTGAACATGTAATTGAAAAATCGAAAGTACTTAAAAATATTAAATAGAAAGGTAAAAAATTTAAAAAATTATTTTATTTAATTTTTATAAAAAACAAAATTAGTTTGGTTGTGGTTAAAAGATCTCGCATCAAATGATAGGCTAAGCAATCTTGGTTACCCCCTCCCTAATGCGTCTGAATCAATCAGCGTCGGCGCATCCCCTCCACATACGCAAGCGGCCAATCGAATGCAATCTCCGCTAGGCGCTTTATTCTGATTCTCCTCTAAACCATTTCGTTCCAAACTCGGAAGTAAGCAAACGCCACTAATATTTAATTATTTTTTTCAATAAAATTTAATTACACTTAATTGAAAATTCTCCCTTTTTAATAATCTCCTCACCTTAATTTTTCATGAAGTAAAAATTTAATTATAAATTAACATTAAAATTTTCGTTTAATGAAAAAATACCGAATTTATTCTGCAATTATCTCTCTCGACTTTTCTTGAAATAAAAATTGAAATTGTAATAAATAAAAAGTAAAAATTTAAATATTTACAGAAAACAAAATTATTTTTAGGGCAAAAAGTTATTTAAAAAAAACCTGGCGCAAAAGGTTAATTAATAATATTTCGAGAAATAAAAATAGAATTTTATTAGTTTTAGAAAACGTAACAAGTGTTTCTACATACAGAAAAAAAAATTTATTTAAAAAAATCCTGGCGCAGGAGAATAATTACAATTATTTAAAAAAATTTCTGAATAGACAACAAAAATTTGTTTTAGAAAAAAATTTTATACAAAAGAACCTGGAGCGGGAAATAAATTCTATTTATTAAATTTATTAACACTAAACTTTTCATTTCATGAAAAAAATACAGAAATTATTCTGTAATTATCTTTCGACTTTTTTTTAATATAAATTTAAATTGTAATAAATAGGAAGTAAAATTTTTAATTTTTATAAAAAACAACAAAATTACTTTTATAGCTCCTGGCGTAGAAAATTAATTGTAATTATAAATAAATTAACACAAAGTTTTGAATACATTTCAGGGAAAAAATACCGAAATTATTCTGTAATTATCTCTCGACTTTTTTTTTAAATTTATGTAAATTAATTGCGATAAAAAATTTATTTAAAGTATAAACTATTTTTTCTATACATTTCATAAATTCTTTAAACAAAATAGTAAAAAATAAATAATCATGAAATAATTTTTTTACAACTGTGTAACTAATTTTTATTTTTGGGCAAAACTGATGATGGACAAAAATTTTTAAATCACGTCAAAGTGGATTAAAAAAGTGCAACATTTATCAAAAGTGTTATTTTACTTCAAAAACGGAAAAAAATGATTAAATCGTTATATAATAGATAAAATAATAAAGTGATACGATTATATATATATACATAGTAGAACACCGCCTTAAAAAATAAACACGTGCTCATTATGTTAAGAAGATAGCAATTGAAACCACGACAAACAAAGTAATATCATATCAAAAACATTCAACTCTCAAAGAATTAAATATTAAACTATTAAAAATATGTTAAAAATAAAAAAACTCAAAAGGTTTCTTTTTAAATTCTTCTAAAAAACACACATTTTATCACGAAGAGAAAAAAAATTAAAATAGAGCAACAAATATGAATTTTGCAATTTTAAATATATTTTAATATTTTATTAAGCGTTTTTTAATTTACTTTTTAAAAAAAAAATACAATTTTTAAGTTGAAAAAGTAATGGAAATTGAAAATATATAAATATTAAACGTGGCACAGATATTTTGACTAGTATACCCAGAAACATTTTCCACAAATACATTCACCGATGATGAGATAACTAAATTTCATTTATATTTTAAGTAAATAAAACGTATATATATAGATAACATTTATAATAACGACTTGCGCATTAATGGAGAGCAAACAAGTTACTAATTCATTAACGATAGACATACATGTATATAAAATATATAAATAATCTCTAAAAAGTTAAAAATATTATGTACTCAGTCTATCGATACTTATTTAGAGAAAAAAATGCATTTTTTCAAAAATGAAAACGAAAAAAAAAATTTCATTTGTTTCAAGGTTATAATTGTAATGAAAAAAAAATATAGAAAAATCATTATCTCATTCTGTATAGTCGAAACAATACTTTATTTAATGTGAATCATTGTTTTCTATTTAGTAAATAATTTTTTATGTTAATTATAATAAATTATTTCCAATAATTATTTTTTTAGTGCGATTATTATTTATTTGTTTTTTTTTAAATTTTATTTATCTTATTATTTTATTTATTTGCCATTTTTCAATGTTTTCATTTATACACCTAAATATTTATTAATAATTTATTTATTTATTAAAAATTATTTATATTTGTTTATTTTGATTTATTTACTTATTTTTATTTATATGTAAGTATTTATTTATTATTTAATTATTTAAATTATTTAAAATATTATTTTTCTTATTTCTTGATTTTTTATTGTATTATAATCTGTATCCTTTTCAAATATTAATTATTATTATTTATGTTTATTTATTTACTTATTATTTTTTTCATTATTTACATTTTTTTCATTATTTTTATTTATAAAAATTTTTTAAATTATTATTTATTATTTCTAGTTTCTTTTATTTTATTACTTCTTTATCCTTCTTGAATAGTAATTATTATTTTTATTTTATTGTTTATCATTCTTAATTATTATTTATTATGTTTAAAAAAATAAATCATTTTAATATTATTGTTATTTATTATTATACATAGTTCATTTCCTTCGACTTTCATTGAACTTCCTGCAGTAATTTTTTTCTTATTTCTACTTTAGTTTTATTTTATTTCAATTACTCTTTATTGTAAATAAATTAAGAAATTTTTTTTAAATATAATTTCTTATTTTTCATTATTATTTACTATTTATTATTATAATTACAATTTACTATTATAATTTACTATTTTCATTTTCTATATTTTTAATTTCTAAAATTCTCACTGCTTCTCATACTTTTTGAACTTCATCTCGGTTGTGAGTAACAAGTCTGTTTGCCCTCTAGCGGAAGCGTCATAGAATTAATATTGGCGCGAAATTCAAATTCGACCTGAACAAATAAGGAATTTCGTTAATATTTTTATTTTACCGAAAATAAAAAAAAATGGATACAACTAAACACCAAGAAGAACTATTTTTTATCGGCTAAAACTAAATATCTTTTGAATTTGAATTTTAAAAAGAAAAATTTGAAAGGGTTGGGAGAAAAAAAAATGTAAAAATCTCAAACAATGTTATACATATTATGGAAGCTCACAAGACTTCTGATAACCGGAACATTGAACTCAGATCATGAGATTTCCTCCCTGTGGTACCACTGCAATATTGAATTACGTACTTTCTTATCTTTATCTGCTTTTTTTCCAGCATTTTTTTTTTTTTTTTTTTTTTTTTTTTTTTTTGCACTTCTTTGCTTTATGTACTTATAGTACAAGTGCGGTGCACGAGCGAGTAAGTCATATCGAGGAGAATTAGAAATGTCTCAATGTTCAAGCGTCACTTTATTGAACAAAAGTTTCGTCATTATTGCCACTGATTCATAATCAACTTCACCATCCATACATATGTAATTTATCAAAAGGCACACCAAGGTTAGATTTTTCGGGTTTATGACCTCGCAATCATCATTATCAGTTTGTGTCAATAGTAGTGAAGCGTTCCGTTCTTGGAAGTCAAGAAAAGAAAAAGAGAGAGAGTGAGAGTGAGTGAGAAGGTGCCTTTAGTAAATTGAATTCTTTTTAAAGAAATCATTTTCCCTTGATGCTTAGAATTTACAATGTGCTTTGAAGATAGCGGATGTGTTGTGATATCGTTAAACATTAGTGCTAACGAGGACAATTGTCAGTCACAATTTGTTACTCGTCGTGTATAAATTCAAGTCCCTCCAAAAAAAAAAAAAAAAAAAAAAAAAAAATTAATTAATTTTTCAATTCGGAAAAAAATTCATAAAAAAAAGAAACAGAAAAAATCATGTGGACAAGTTCAAAGTGATTTCCATTAAAACAAAAAATAAAAATTCTCAGTGAAGTGAAGTAATACTAAAATTGGGAAAAAGAATCAAAAATGCAAAATTATTATAAGTAGGAAATTTTTTTTTACTCCTTTAGAGACATAGGGAATTAGGAGTAATTTTTTTTTTTTTTTTTTTTGAAAAAGTGAATTTCGAATAGAACTTTTTTTCCTCCTTTTCGGGGGGAGTTTTTTTTTGGAAACGAAACAAAGAGAAGAAAAAAAATGGCGAAAGTGAATAACAAAACGGTGACAGCAAATGGGAGAAAAAATGAATCAAAGTGTCAAAATTTAACTGCTAAATATGTACCAGTGTCAAAATGGCTTCCAAATTATACGAAATTTCAAGCTGTCTCCGATCTTGTGGCTGGTATTACTTTGGGTCTAACAATGATTCCACAAAGTATCGCATATGCCGCAATAGCTGGACTCACGCCTCAGGTGTGCGATTTTTTTTATTAATTATTATAATTAATTTATTTAATTATAATAATATTTATTCTAATAATTATTTATTATTATTAATAATTATAATTATTATAATAATGCACAAAATAATTGTAAAATAACAATAATAATAATAATAATAATAACAAATATACTTTATACTTCTTTAAATATTAATCAATTAATTTATTTAAATATTTATTTAATTTATTTAATAATTATTTAATAATTATGTAATAATAATAGTAATAATAATAATAATAATAAAATATTTCAAAATTGATACTAATAATAATAAAATACTAATTATAACGATTATAATTGTTTTTGTATACAATAATAGTAACATTAACAATAATAATGAAATAAATAATAATAAAAATAATATAATAATAATAGTATAATAATAATAATAATAAAAATAAATAATAATAATAATAATAATAATAATAATAATAATAATAATAATAATAATAATAATTATAATAATAATAATGCTAATAATTTAATACCAATAAAATTAGTAATAAATATAAATTAATAATACACGAAAAAAAACTGGAACAACTACAAATTTCACTAAATTAGCTAAATTTTTATTTGCTTCTGTTAAGAATTTTGCTAATGTAGAGAAACTTATTATTGTTCTACGTGAAGCTGTTTTTCCGTGTAAAAATAATTAAAATATAAAAAACAAAAAAAAAAATTAATGATTCATAAAACAAGAAAATTGAGTGTAAAATTCATACAAAATTTTACACTATGAAGAAACTTTTTCTTTCACAAAATTATCCTTTTTTTCTAAATAACTATACACAAGTGTTAATTAAATATTGTAAATAAAATAAAAAAGAGTCAGAAATAATAATAAATAAATATATATATATATATATATAAGAAATAATAATAAATAATAACATTATGATAAATAATAAAATAGTACCTAATAGGTAAATAAAACAATAAAATATTTGATTAAAAAATTTTATTAAATAAATAAAAAAATATATTTAAAAAAAAGTATTTTTAAAATGTAATTTTTTTCTTTCAAACACTGAGAAAACAATATATTTGAATCAAACATAATTATTTTTGTTATACAATAAAAAAAACTATTTTTGAATTAAACATAATAATTTTGATTCAACACACAATAAGTTTGATTCAATAAAAATGTTTAATTTAATTATAAAATATGTTTAATTTAAACATTTTTTCTTGGTTGACTTTTTGAATTAAAAAAAAAGTTTGATTCAAGTTTGATAAGTTTGATTCAATAAAAATGTTTAATTTAAACATTTTTTCTTGGTTGACTTTTTGAATTAAAAAAAAAAAAATTTCTCAGTGAAGAAAATTTATTTTATTAATTTATTATTTTTTTGGCGAAAAATTTGAAATTAAAGAAGAAAAGTAGACAGATGCAAAAAAAAAGACATTAAAAAAAATTGTAATATATTAAATAATAATATATAGTAAATAATTAATTAAAGAAAATAATGTAAATGGAATAATTTGTAATGTAAAGAGAAAAAACAAAGGCCTTATTAATAATGAACTGATAATAATTTATGTGAAATGAAACAATAAAAAAAAAGTCACATGATGATAAAATGACCAAGTTAATGGAATATTTGTAATTAAAAAAAAACTCATATACACTCACACACTGACTAGTAATGATTAATTCTACTTTTCTACTTGACCTGAAAATATCTAAATAATTATCAAATGGGGAAAAAAAACCAGTCAATGATGGTTTTTTTTTTTTGTTAATAATTATTCAAATTCTTTCTTTTATTTCATTCTTTCTATTTGGTCATTATTAAATATACGTTAAAATTTACCCAAATAATTTTTTTCTATTGTTAATTATTTATTTTTATTTATTACATTTTATGTTTTTTATGAAAAATATAAATAAATATTATATATTTATTTATCATTTATTATTTATTATATTTTATGTTTTTTATGAAAAACATAAATAAATTTTATATATTTATTTATTATTTATTATTTATTATTTATTATTTATTATTATTATTATTATTATTATTATTTACTGTTACTAATTATTATTATTATGACTTCCATATTTATTATTGCAATGTTCATACAATGTTCTAAAGGGTTTTAAGCTCGTTAAAAATTGAATGAATAAATAATTTACCCGCGAGTAAATAATGTTTATTATAATTATTAAATATTTATTTTTGTCCTGTATAATTCTGCAGTACATATATTATAACGAAAATATATCAAAGAAAATTGTCATTAATAATTTCGCCTCCCCCCCCCACCTCCCCTCTCTTTTTAATGTGATGTACTTTAATGGAATTTGACATTCAAAAGTCGCATGTAAATATGAAATATAAATTGTTAATTAAAAAATGGTAATGAAGCGATTTCTATAATATTTTATATTATCATCACATTTTCTCAAATGTCACACACGCGTTCCCGTTTTAAAAATTTGCAGAATGTCAACTGAAAAGTTGTCTTCTGCAAAAACGTATAAAATAAAAGCAGAAAAAAATATTTAATTAAAAAAAAATATTGCAAGCAAAAAGAAAAAAAAAAGAAGAAAATAACTGTGTAAATATTTCCAAATTATGAATATGACAAATAGTTATATAAATTTTAATTAAATTATATATGTATTGCATGGAATTCGTCCGGAAAGTACAAACAAAAATAAATATATCTCTGATTTATGAATATAGAAAAGTTTATAAGAATTGTTAACATAAAATGTCTGTATTATTTTTTAAAGAGTAAAAATATTTTTTCAATTTATACGACAATTTTTTTTTTTTTTTTTTAAGGGTTACGGTTAAAAATACAGAAAAAATACAACAAATGCAATTAAATACGACAATAATAATGATAATAATAGCAATGCTATTAAAATACTAATTAAAAAACGTAATTTTTTTTTTTTAATTACAAAGACCAACAGTATAAATAATAAAAATAATTAAAAAAAACATAAAGTAATAATAATAGTACGAATAAAAACGATTTTAAATTAAAAGACAACTGATTTTTGAACTATATGAATTTTTTTTTTTTTTTTTTTTTTTTTTTTTTTGTAATTTGTTTTTAAAAAATAAATTATTTACAGTATGGACTTTACTCGACATTTATTGGTGGATTTATTTACATCTTTCTTGGGAGTATTAGAGAAGTATCAATTGGACCAACATCACTTATGGCACTTTTGACACTTGAATTCACAACAGGAATGCCACTTGATTTTGTGATAATTCTTGGATTTTTGGCCGGTTGCATTGAATTGGCGATGGGTTTACTTAATTTAGGTTTGCAGAAGATACTTATTTCATTTTTATTTTCTAGTCATTAAGATTAATTTCCTAATGTTATTTTTATTCGTTAATATATTTTTTATATTTTTTTTTTATTTTAATATTTATTAGGGGAGAGAGTTATTAAAAAATAAAACTAATATAATTTTCAATTCAATAAAGCAAGAAGTGTAAAAGTAATAAATACGTTTTATCTTTTTCACAATATTATTGATGATAATTTACAACAATATTATCATCATCATTTAGTATAAAATGGAATGAAAAAAAAATTTTATAATTTGGTATGCGCGTGGTATTTAATCTGATAATGAGTGTACGGCTCGAATAATCAAAATAATTATAAATCGATTGTTAACTTCATATATATATATATTTGTATAGAAATGAGGTTTAATGAAGACCACAATTTTGCAGGTTTCCTCGTGGATTTCATATCAATACCTGTTAGTACGGGATTTACTTCTGCCACTGCAGTTATTTTAATCGTACATCAATTGCCACATTTATTGGGACTAGAGTATGAAGCGATTGCTGTCATTGATAGTTTGACGTGCCTCTTTCGTAATATCAGCAAAATTCGTTGGACCGACACTCTCCTCGGTATTTCCAGTATTGTTATTCTCTTATCAATGAAGGTACGTCAAAATATCGACGAAAAAAAAAATTTTTTTTATTTCTAAATCCATTTTTGAGAATTTACACTAAAAAATTTTAATAAAATTAGATATTGGAAAAAATTTTTTAAAAATTTAATAAAACTCTTTAGATTCAATTATTTTCACATATTTTTCGTAATTCAATGATTTTTAATATCTACTACTTTAATAAAAAATTTCCAAAAAGAATTGAATAATTTTAAAAAATGTTTATAAAATTCTTTGCAAACATTCAATTATTTTCATAAATCAAAAAAAAAAAAAAAAATCACACGAATTCAATTATTTGAAAAAGCATTTTTCTAATATTCTTCGACAAAAAATCAATTATTTAAATAGATTTTAATAAAATTCTTTAGATTCAATTATTTTCACATATTTTTCGTTATTTAATGATTTTTAATATCTACTACACTCGATTCTCGTTATAACGACGATCTCGGGACTTCAAAATCTCGATATAACGACAGAAGGAGAAGATCCTACTTCACGTTCTATTCAAACGTCAAATACGTGCAAAATTTTTCGTAATGTATGTTTATTTATATTAAAAGTTTTTAAATTATAGAATCAGTTTAAAGAAAAAGTAAGTATTTTTAATAATAATCGGATCACTAGATTCTTTAGGTTAAATAAAGTTAAGAGTCGATTAAATTTGACGTTTTTTTTGAGTTAACCAAAATTTTGGTTAAATTGAATTCTTAAATTCGTTCGTGTTTTTTTTGTCGTTGTATCGAGAGTTTTAATGTTCGTTATAACGAGAGAACGTTGTAACGAGATTCGTTATAACAAGAATCGAGTGTAATTTAATAAAAAATTTCCAAAAAGAATTGAATAATTTTAAAAAATGTTTATAAAATTCTTTGCAAACATTCAATTATTTTGAGAAATAAAAAAATTTTCACAGGAATTCAATTATTTAAAACAGAATTTTCCTGTTATTTTTCGAAAGAAAAACCAAATTCTTTAAATAGAATTTTATAAAATTCTTCGAAAGAATTTAATTATTTTTATGAATGATAAAATTCTTCTCAGGATAATTATTTTTTTTTAAATTTTAATAATAAATCGTTGCAAGAATTCAATAATTTTTAAAAAATTTTTAAACTCTTAGCAGGATTTCAATTATTTTTAATGAAATTTTAAATGAATTCCTCGAAAAATGCAATAACTATTCTTAAAAATTTTGATAAAATTCTTCGAAAGAATTCAATTATTTAAAAAAATTCTAATGAAATTCTTTAAAATAAATTTAATAATTGAATATTTTTCAATATAATTTTAATAAAAAGTTTCGGAAGAATTCAATTATTTTCATAAATAATAAAACTCGCATCGCAGGATTTCAATTATTTTGAATCTAATTTTAAATTAATTCCGTTGGAAACGCAATTATTCTTAAAACTTTGAATAAAATTCTTTGAAAAAAATTCAATTATTTAAAAAAATTCGATATAATTTGTTTCTTATTATTTATTTATTTATTTTTCTTATTTCTTATTTCTTTCTTTGTTTTCTTATAATTATTTTCAATTCATCCTTAATTACATTTCATGAATGGATTTAATTATTATTAAAAATTTTAATCCAAGTCTTCGTAAAAATTCAATTATTTTAAAAAATGTTGATAAAGCTTTTTATAAGAATTCAAATTTAAGAAATATTCAATTATTCAATAAATTATTTATTTTTGTATTCAATTATTTCATTCTCATTGAACTTTCTAAGAAGAATTGATTTAGAATTAAATAAAATGAAATTATTAAAGTTTTGAATAATTTTATTTATAAATTTCACAAAAAAAAAAAAAATAAATAATTGAATTTTGAAAGAATTAGTTTTGTAATTTTTTAGAAATAGTTAAATTTCAAAAATGCGTTATATTGAAATCATTTCAAATATTTAAAATCCTGTTGAAAAAATAAATGAATATTTAAATATTTATTTTAAAAAATTATTCTATTTTTGAATGTAATTAAGAAATTATGCAAAAAAATTGAGCTAATTTTTTTAATTTTTAATTAATATTATTAATTAAATTATAAATTCTATTGAATTGTTCCAGTGAAACTCTATAGAATTTTTTCCACTGGATATAATATCCGGTTGGTAATTATAATTTAATAATTAATTATTCTTTTTTTTATATTTCATATAGACCCTGAAGGATATTGAATGGAAAAGTTTAAAGAATAATAAAACAATTGCAAAGGGGAAATTTTTGAAAAAAATTTTATGGTTTTTATCGACTGGCCGTAATGTTGTTGTCGTATTAGCGTCAACAATTGCTGCATATCAATTAAGTATTGTCGGTCACGAACCATTCCTCCTTTCAGGTATGAAACATTTTTTTTTTAATTAACAAAAGAAAAACAATTTCATTTATTGCAAATTTTTTATTCCTCTTTTTGTTAATTCTTAATTTTATGATTTTTAATGTCTTCTTGGGAATCTATTAGTAATTATTATTTTTTTTCATCCCAGACAGCAATCTTGCGACCATAAAAGTAATAGTAAAAAAAATAATAAATAATAAAAGGAATAATTTTTTTCTTCAAAATCCGTTAATTATTATTAATATTTTCATTTATTTTCAATTTACATTTTTTAAAAAAAATTATACAAGAGTAAATTTTTAATATTTTTTTATTCTTAAAATCCATTAGTAGTTATAAATTTTTTTTTCAATTTCAATTCGTTTTTTTTTTTAATAAATAATGAGAGGACAAATATGATCGCAAAATTCGCTTAGAGTATATAACATCAATATTTACTCGATAGATTTCAATTTTAAATGTAAAAACCGATGAAAGATTTTTATTTTTTCGTTATTTAATTTTTTTTTTTAATATATATTTTCACAAATTTGATTTATCCAAAAAAAAAAAAAAATGATTTATTTTCCGTCTGTTTTTAAAGGAAATGTTACATCTGGCCTGCCACCTTTTAAATTTCCCAATATCACGTCCCAGATAGGCAATCAGACTTACACATTTTTCGACATGTGTTCTCACTTGGGTTCAGGATTAATCATTGTTCCACTTGTTGCTGTTTTAACAAATGTTGCAATCGCTAAAGCTTTTGGTATGTTTTTTTGCAATAAAAAGAGAATTTTCGGAAAAAATTATTTTTGACTTTAGAGCGACAATTTTTTTTTATGTTACCTTTCTATTTATTTGTTGAACTTATAAATATAATTTTTATTTTTTAAATTTTTAATTAAAACTATTTTTTAAATTTTTAATCAATAAATAACATTTAAAATGTTAATTATAATTCTAACTGCACCTAATTCCAATTTCCATTTCTGTTCTAATTCTCTAATTCTAATTCAATAGCCAATTCAAATTCTAATAAAAATTTTAAATGTAATTCTAATCCTATTTCCAATTCTAATTCTAATTCTCATTCCGATTCTAATTATAAATATTAAATATACATAATTATAAATATAATTCTTACAATTTATAATTGTACTTATATTTCTAATTATAATTATAATTCTATTTTTAATTCTAATTCTAATTCTAATTCTAATTCTAATTCTAATTCTAATTCTAATTCTAATTCTAAAATTCTAATTTTAATTCTAATTCTAATTCTAATTCTGATTCTACTTCTAATTCTACTTTTAATTCTACTTCTAATTCTACTTCTAATTCCACTTCTAATTCTACTTCTAATTCTAAAACTAAATGTAATTTTAATTCTATTTCTAATTCTAATTTTTATTATATTATTAATTCTTATTTTAATTTTAATTCTAATTATAAATAAAATATACTTCTAATTCCAATTCTAATTCAAATTCTGATTCCAATTCTAATTCTAATCATTATTTTAATTCTAATTCAAATTGTAATGTAGATTCTAATTCTAATTCTATTTTTAATTATTATTCAAATTCTAATTCTATATCTAAATATAATTCTAATTCTAATTCTAATTCAAATTCAAATTTTGATTCTGATTCTAGTTATGATTATAATTATAAATATAATGCTAACTGTACCTAATTATAATTGTACCTCTAATTCTAATTCTAATTCTATTTTTAATTCTTATTCTATGTAATTCTATTTCTAATTCCAATTATAATTATATTTTTAATTCTTATTCTAATTCCAATTTTAACTCCAATTTTAATTCTAATTCTAATTCTAATTCTAATTCTAATTCTAATTCTAATTCTAATTCTAATTCTAATTCTAATTCTAATTCTAATTCTAATTCTAATTCTAAGTCTAATTCTGTTAAAAAAATATAATTTTTATGGATGCATAAAAAAATGTTCTATAACGAATGTCAAAAATAATTTTCTGCATTTAATTAAAAATTAATATTAATAATTGAATGTTTAATTGAAACAATAGCGACGGGAGATTTAGTGGACGCTTCACAAGAGATGAGAACACTTGGAGTTTGCAATATATTGGGTAGTTTTGTGTCCTCAATGCCAACTTGCGGTTCTTTTACAAGAAGTGCCTTGAGCAGTGCAAGTGGGGTTCAAACTCCAATGGCAGGCCTTTATTCAGGTAAATAAGTCAAATGATATCTAATAATAATTATTAATAAGTACAACGTCAACGATAAATAAATATCAATCACAATTTGACCCTATCGCAATTTTATTTTTACAACTTTTTTTTTTACTATAATTTCCCAATCTGCAATACATAGTTATAAAAAAATGGATAGAAAAAATTTCTACTTACAAAAAAAGTCGTTCGATAGAAAAACAAGGACTCACCTGAAAAAGAGAAGAGAAACATTTTATTAGTCACATATTTTTAATTGTTTTTACATATTTTTTAAAGATATCTAATTGCATTAGAATTTTTTTAATTGTAATTCGAATTTGAATTCTAAATCTAGTTCAAATTCAAATTCAAATTCAAATTCAAATTCAAATTCAAATTCAAATTCAAATTCAAATTCAAATTCAAATTCAAATTCTAATTCTAATTCAAATTCAAATTCAAATTCAAATTCAAATTCTAATTCTAATTCTAAGTACGATTATAATTATATTCAAATTATAATTCGAACTAGAATTTTAATTCAAATTCATAATCTGACTGTAATTTTAATTCTAATTCTAATTCCAATTACAATTTCGATTCTAATTCTAATTCTAATCACGATTATAATTCTAATTCTAATTCCGATTATAATTCAAATTCTAATTCTGATTATAATTAAAATTCTAATTAAGATTATAATTCTAATTCTAATAATGATTATAATTCTAATTCTAATTCTAACTGTAATATTCTGATTATAATTATATTCGAATTATAATTCTAACTGTAATTTTAATTAAAACTAATTTCAATTCTAATTATATTCAAATTCATAATCTGACTGTAATTCTAATTCTAATTCTAATTCCAATTACAATTTCGATTCTAATTCTAATTCTAATCCCAATTATAATTCAAATTCTAATTCCGATTATAATTCAAATTCTAATTACGATTATAATTCTAATTCTAATTACGATTATAATTCTAATTCTAATTACGATTATAATTCTAATTCTAACCATAATATTCTGATTATAATTATATTCGAATTATAATTCTAACTGTAATTTTAATTAAAACTAATTCCAATTCTAATTATATTCAAATTAAAATTCTAACTGGAATTTTAATTCAAATTCAAACTGTAATTCTAATTCTAATTTCAATTTCAATTTCAATTTCAATTTTAATTTCAATTTCAAATTTAATTTTAATTTTTATCTTAATTCTAATTTCAATTTTAATTCTAATTTCAATTCTAATTTTAATTCTAATTTCAACTCTAATTACGATTATAATTCTAATTCTAAACGTAATATTCTGATTACGATTATAAATATATTCGAATTATAATTCTAACTGTAATTTTAATTCAAATTCAAACTGTAATTTTAATTAAAACTAATTTAAATTCTAATTACGATTCTAATTACATTAAAATTATAATTCTTACTGGAATTTTAATTTAGATACAAACTGTAATTCAAATTCTAATTTCAGTACTAATTTTAATTTCAATTCTAATTCTATTTTCAATTCTAATCTAAATTTAAATTTAAATTAAAATATTAATTTCAATTTTAATTTCAATTCTAATTATATTCAAATTATCATTCGAACTGGAATTCTAATTCTAATTCTAATTCTAGTTACGATTATAATTCTAATTCTAATTCCGTTTACAATTTTATTTCTAATTATGATTATAATTAAAATTCTAATTACGATTATAATTCTAATTCTAATCACGATTATAATTCTAATTCTAACCGTAATATTCTGATTACGATTATAATGATATTCAAATTATAATTTTAACTGTCATTTTAATTCAATTTTAAACTATAATTTTAATTCAAATTCAAACTAATTTTAATTCCAATTACGATTCTAATTATATTAAAATTATAATTTTAACTCGAACTTTAATTCAAAGTCAAACTGTAATTCTAATTTCAGTACTAATTTTAATTTCAATTCTAATTCTACTTTCAATTTTAATTCTAATTTCAGTACTAATTTTAATTTCAATTCTAATTCTACTTTCAATTTTAATTCTAATTTCAGTACTAATTTTAATTTCAATTCTAATTCTAATTTCAATTTTAATTCTAATTTCAATTCTAATTCTAATTTCAATTCTAATTACAATTATTATAATTATATTCAAATTATAATTCGAACTGGAATTCTAATTCTAATCCTAATTTTAATAATAATTGTAAGTCTAATTCTCTAATTCTAATTATCATTCTAATTACAATTAATATTATAATCTATTTATAATAACAAATATCAATTCGCATTATAATATTCTCTAAATTTTTCGTAATTTTTTTACATTAATTAATTTATTAACTTTTTTATTAGTTACTTGCATAAGAGATTTAAAAAAAAACAGTAATTGTTTACATATAAGTTTTCATCTCGTTTTCCACAATATTGAAAATAAATTTTTTTTTTGTTCATTTCTATTAAATAAAAATTTGTTGACATCTTTCTTTATCTCAAAATTGTTATGGAAATGTTTATATTTAACTGAGGTAAACAACAATCGAGAATGTCAACAAAAAACAAAACATACTACACTGTTGAAGTGTAAATATAATTTCTTTTTAAGAAAATAGAAAAATAATTAATTTCTGAAAGTCATAAATTTAATTTGTTGTAATTTTCATTTTATAAGTCTAATTTAATAAATTCACAAACATTTTCGGTTAAATTTCATAATGAGTGATAATTTTACCATTAAAAACATATTTTACAAAATATTATACAGCAAAATATTCTAGTTTAAATAATTTTCACCATTTTGTACAGGAACAATGACACTTTTCGCTCTGAGCTTCTTGACACCCTATTTTCACTATATTCCACAAGCGACACTTGCTGCTGTACTTATAAGTGCAATTATGTTCATGATTGATTGGCGTCTCGTGCCATTACTTTGGAAGGGAAAGAGTAAGTAAATTTACAACAACAAAAAAACTAAGTAAATTTAGTTACAGTATGTAAAATTAGGAGTAATTAAATTTTCTCAGAGGAAAAAAATCGACATCAGAAAAAAAACAAATTATCACATAAATTTTACATAATTATTTTCAAAAATTGAATTCTAGACTAAAAAATCGAGTGTAGAAATTAGAAACAAAAAGATTGTGGGTATATTGGGGAAAAAGAGTCAATGGAGGGTGAAATTTTTGGATAAAAGATAAGCGAATCAAATAAGGTCTGCTGAGTTCGTACTTATAAAACTTTATAAATATAATATCATTCCCATGGATTTGGGAAAGGAACTGAAGAGGAAAATGTCGAGTGGAGTAAAAATGATGGAAAAAAATATTGTACACGTTGCAAAAATAACGCAATTTGGAAATACAGTGTCGAGATTGGAAAATTGAAACAAAAAAAAATTGAAAAATTTAAGTTTAAATAAATAATGTCGCGATCTAATTAAATCTGATTTTAATAATAAATTTATTAAAAGGCTCATTTTATTTTTTATATTACTTCTGTGAGTGGCAATTTATTTTTGAAAATAAATTAAATTTTCCTATAGTAATTATCAAATAATTTATTATCGAAAATAAATAAAAATTTTTCGATGATAATTATCGAATAATTTATTAACGAAAATAAATTAAATTTTAAAATATTTATTTTTATAGAATAAATAAGATTAGGTTACGCAATTGTTGGTACTCACCGGGACTAATCGAATTTTTTGAGCGGAAAGGAAAAATGTAGAAAAGTAGAAAAAACCTAGTAAAATACTAACAATGGGGAGAAAAGTAATTTGATGCTACGGTTCGGAAACACTGCGCTTTACAGTTTAGAATTTTTTCTTATATACTCTGGCAGTAGTGGAAGTAGTGGGGGAGACGCGCTCTATTGGTGCGCTCTCTTGAGCAGCGAGCAAGCGATCACTGATTGGCTGCGGCAAAGAGGCGGCGCGGCGGACCAATAGGCCGCGTCTCCCCCACTACTTCCACTACTGCCAGAGTATATAAGAAAAATTATCCGCACTCATGTGCTCACTGTTATCTACTTTCTCGTTTGGTAAACATAGAAATTGATTTTTTTTAAATAATAATAAATTATTTTATAATAAAAATGTCTTTTTATTTCAAAATAATTTAAAAAACGGTTTTAAACATTAGCAAATAGTAATAAATAAATTATTAATAATCTTTTCTAATTGGGATTACAATTAATTTGTTTAGAGACATTTATTAATTTATTTAGTTCCAATTAATTTACTTGCAGACATTTATTAATTAATTTAATATAGATAATTAATTTACTTGGAGATATTTATTAATTTATTTAGTACAATTATTTTATTTGGAAACATTTATTAATTTATTTAGTACGATTACTTTACTTGGAAACATTTATTAATTTATTTAGTTCCAATTAATTTATTTGCAGACATTTATTAATTTATTTAATATAATTAATTCACTTGGAGACATAAATTATTAAAAATCTGCTAATTTATTTTTCATTCAATAATCAATTTGAATTTATTTATTAATTCATACCTTAACGAAAAAAAAATGAAGTTTAACAGTTAATTAAGTTCAATGAAAATAGAAATTTAATTTGAAGGGAAATTAAAAAACATTTTGATATTTTTTGAAATGTGGAAAAATAAATTAATAGAATGAAAATAAAATTTTGAGTTAAACGGAAAATTTTTCTTTTTCAGGATCAGATGCGATTGCATGTCTGGTAACATTTACAGTATGCGTTGGAGTTAACGTAAAAACGGGTCTATTCCTGGGTACAATTTGCAATATTATTTATCTACTATTACAATCAGCAAGGCCCAAGATTTCTGTGACAGAATGCAAGGTGCTTACAAAAAATATATCTACAAAACTGTGAGGATAATATTGTATTTTCTAAATTCTGCCACTTTTTTGAAATTTATTTTTTTATTTTAATTATTTTATTCAGTATTTCTTTTTTTATTTTTATTATATCCTTTATCTATTATCCTTTGACTAATTATTTATTTATTATTTGATTAATTTTAATATTAATACAAATATTAATATTATTTTAATATTAATATTGTAAATTAATTATTATTTTAATATTAATGTTAATATTATAAATTAATTATAATTTATTATTATTTTTTTCATATACTTATTCAATATTCTGTTTAATTATAATAAAAAAACTAAAAAAAAAAATTTTTTAATTTTCTTTTACTAAAATTCTTTTACAAATTTTTATAATCTATTTTTCAATTTTGGTTTCATAATTAAATAAAAAATCCAATAGTTAATTTTTGCAAATTAAATTTTAACTCAAATGAAAATTGTGTAAAAAATACGGTTCTTTTTTTAAAAAATGATGATTAATTTATAATTGCAGTCGTAATTATAATATTAATGAATATTGATTTATAGACACATTTGGGGGACAAATATCTGCTGCTTAAACCAAGTGATGGACTGCAATTTCTCGAAGTTAATTATCTGACGCAAAAAATATCAGAAATTGGAGAAATTCAGAATAGCAAGGGATTACCTGTCATTGTCGACTGTCAGAATGTTAAGGGAGTTGACTACACTGCTATAAAAGTACGTGAAAAATCACTTTATGTTAATTTTCCATAATTTTCTTTTTTCATTTTTTTTTTTTTTTTTTTTTTTTTTAATTATTTTTGCAACGGAAATTGTGAGCGAATTATTAAAAATTTAAATAAACTTTTAATTAAAAATTAATAAAATTTTAATTCTAATTTCCGTAATTTTTAATAAATATTTTTTACATTTTCAAATAATCCGCACAAAATTTTTTAGATAAAACCAATAAAAAAAATTGTTAATATTAATACCTATAAATAAACATATATATATATATATAAAAATTAAATAAATTTTTAATTCAAATTTAAAAATTCAATTTGAATTAAAAAATAATATTTATATTAAGCATTTAATTATTATGCGCTAATAATAAAATTAGAAAAGAAATCAATTTTAATAAAAAAAAATTAATAATAAAAAAAATGATTATTTCTCTCAATAATTAAATTTCCATTTTTTTATAAAAATAAATTTTAGGAAAGAATTTTCATTTTAAAATTATAGAGAGATCGTATTTCTTTTTTGTTTTATAATAATTTTTCTATTTGGATTAAAAGAAATTAAAAATTTCCAGGGAATGGAGAGACTTCGAAAGGAATTCGAGGCGAGGAATCATCAACTTTGGTTTATGAATATGAAACCATCTGTGATAAAAACTATTCGCGTTCTGAGTTCAATGGAATCTTTACAAATCATGGAAACTGACGAGAATATTATAGAATGTTTTCAAGAAATGCAGACGAGTAATAATTCTCAAACTGTATTTGCTTTAAGTACGTAATTCTTTTTTATTTCTTCAATTCTATTTTTTCTTGTATTTCTATTATTTTCTTATTCTCTTTTTACGTTTATTTTCTTTCCTTTCTTCTTCTTTTTTATTTTTTATTTCTTCTTTTTTGTGTTTTCCTTACTTTTTGCTTCTATTTTATTTTTCATTTCATTTCTTTCCTTTTTATTTCTATCTTGACATTTATTTTTTCACTCTATTTCTTTCTTTTCTCCTCTTTTCTTTTTGACTCATTTTTTTTTCTTATCCTTACTTTTCTTTTTTTCTCTTTTCTTGTTTTTTTTCTGTTTTTCTATTTTTCCTTATTTTTTTCTTGTTTTCTTTATTCTTGCTTTTTTCTGTTTTTCTATTTTCCCTTATTTTTTCTTGTTCTATTCTTGTTTTCCCTTTTATCTTCCAACTTCTTTTTGTTCTTTTTATTTTCTTTCCTTTTTCTTTCTTTTTTAATTGTTTTCTTAAATTTTTCTTCCTCCTTTCCTCTTATGTTTTTTTTTCATATTTTTGTATTTTTTTTTGTTCTTTTTTTTCTTAACAGTTTTTTTCTCCTTTTTTTCTATTTTTTTGTTCTTCTTTTTTCTTCTGAACGGTTTTTTGATCTTCTTTTTCGTTTATTTTTATTTCTCTTCTTGAATTGTTTCTTCTTTTTTACATTTTTCTCTTCTCTCATCCTTTTTTTATTTTCTTTTTCTTTTCTTGTTATTTCATTTCGATCCTTTTTTTTCTTTTCTTTTCCTGTATTTTCTTTTTTTGTAATTTTTCTTGTTCTTTTTTTCTTAAGAGATTTTTTGTTTTTTTTTTCTATTTTTTCTTGTTCTTTGCTTTTTTTCTTCTTAGCAGTTTTTTTGTCTTCTTTTTCATTTATTTTCAATTCTCTTCTTGAATTCTTTCTTCTTTCTTCTTTATTTACTTTTTCCTCTTCTCTCATCCTTTTTTCATTTTCTTTCTATTTTTTGTCATTTTATTTTGATTTTTTTCTTTCTCTTCTTCTTTGTTTTTTTCTATTCTTTTGCTTTTCTTCTTAACAGTTTTTTGTTCTCTTTTTTGTTTTTTTCTATTTTTTCTTGTTCTTTTCTTTTTTTTTTCTTCTTAGCACTTTTTTCCTTCTTTTTCGTTTATTTTTATTTCTTTTCTTGAATTGTTTCTTCTTTTTTCTTTTCTTCTATTCTTTTTTCATTTTCTTTCTCTTTTCTTGTCGTTTCTTTTCGATCCTTTTCTTTCTCTTCTTTTTCTTTGTTTTTTTCTATTCTTTTATATTTTTTTCTTTTTTATGTTTATTTTTCCTGTTATGTTTTTTATTTCTTGTTTCTTTTCTTCCATTTTCTCTTCTTTTCCCTTATGTTTTTATCTTTTTTCATTTTCATTCTCTTTTCTTTTTTTCTTTTCTCTTTCTTCTTTTCTTTTCGGTTCTTTTTTATTTTTTCTTGTTTCTTCTTGTTTCTTCTTTTTTCTTTTCTTTTCTTTTCTTGTTTTTTTCTCCTTCTTTTCATTTTTTTTCTCTTATTTTTTCTTCTCTTTTGTTGTCTTCATTCTTCTTCTTTGTTTTTTTTCTTTTCGTTTCTTTCTTTTTTATTTTTTTTTTGCCTTCTTTTATTTCTTCACTCTCTTCCCTTATGATTTTTCCATTTTCTTTCTCTTGTCTTGTCTTCCTTTTTTTTCTTAGTTTTCTTTTCTCTCCTTCTTTCTCCTGTTTTTTAATTTCTTTTTGTCTTTTTTAGTTTTCTTTTATTTGTTTTCTATTTTTCTTCTCTTTTTTCGTTTCGTTTTTTTTTTTTTAATTATCATAATAGTAATAAATTATATTCATAATTATAATCATTATGACAAAAAAATAAGGAAGAAGAAAAGTAATAAAAAGAATGACGCGAGAAAAGAAAAAATTAAAATTCCTTTTCTCTGTTCAACTTTTCGATATAATATAAAACTAACTAAATCCTTGTGTATATGTATATTTGTATCTATTATGAAAATTTTGATTAAGAAAATGAATATCAAAAATACGACACGTAATTAGTTGGGAAGTTTTCATAGCTAGGAAACATATTTCAAGTTTCAATGCTTTCGAACTAAAACTCATTAACGTTTAGGAGGCATTTCAAATTAGCCGTCGTCCTCTTAGTTGAAGTGCTCTTAAATTAATTATCCGCTAATTAAGAGTCTTTTGCCAATATAATTTTTTATCTGTTAAAAAGAAGTAACTATAATTTAAAAAAAAACAAATATATTTTTATTCTTTCTTTTAACAGGAGAGACTGATATTATGAACAGAATAAAGTTTAGTGAAATTGGTGAGAAAAATGATTCAAAAAGGGAAAATTACGATAAGAATAAAGTTGAAAGTACATTTAATAATGAAGAAAAATTATCACTAATGACATCACAAGATCACAAAGTGGAAATTATTGACAATGATTTGCCATCGGCCACAGAAACATCACAACCACAACAACAACAACAACAACAACAACCGAACGGAACAATCTAGTCCATAAGTTTTCAATTTAGAATCTAATTTTATTAATTCTTTTTGTAAATATTTATTTTGAAAATTAACAAATTTATTATTGTATTGATTAAAATTTAATTATTTTAATAATTCATTGAAATTATTTAATTATTCCAATAATTAATTGAAATTGTTTAATTATTCCAATAATTAATTGAAATTATTTAATTATTTTAATAATTAACTAATTACAAAGAATTTAGATATTTTTTTCCCCACAAGAAAAAAAGAAGACGAATTTATTTGATGAGTGAGAATTTTGACAAAAGTATAGTCAATTTTTTTTTAATTTAGGAATCTCAGGAATGTATGTAAAATGTTTACATAAATATTTCTGTATAAAATTTATACAAATTTTTGGTTTAAATGTAAAATTTAGACAAATGTTTAATTTTAAATTTAATTTAATTTCAATTTAACATAAAATAATTTTAAAATATCAAAAATAAATTTCCATCCAAAGAGAAAAATGACAAATTTTGTTATTTTTAAAAATTAGGAAATTTTTATTTACATCAAAAAGAAAGTAAAATTAAATTTAAAAAAAAGTAAAATTAAATTAAAAAATAAAATAAAAAATTAAAAGTGAAATTAAATTTTAAAAAAATTAAAATTAAGTTTGAGATTGAAATTTCAATTGAAAATCGTGAATCAAATTACGAATTTTAAAATTGAAATTAGAAATATAAACAAAACTTAAAAATTGAAATTAAAAATATATAAACAAAAAATTAAAATTCAGAAACTGTTTGCAATTAACATTTATCTCAAATTTGTACATTTGTTTATTAAACTTAGGAAAATAATTTCTCTTTGTCTACAAAGATTATTTTTTTTATATTAGTTTTTAAAAAGAAAATCAGTATCGAGCTTGTTACTGTGGTTTAAATAATTTAATAGATTGATGCAGTATTTTTTTCTTTTTTTTTTTTTTTTTGTTGAAAATATTGAACAATATTTTATTTATGTCGTGATTAAAAGAAGAATTTTTTATAACGCAATGTTTGTCGAAACTCTATAAATATTGTCATACGAGCGCTGTTTAAAAAAAAATTCATAAGAAAAAATTATTTTTTCTTTAATAATAATTATTTTTTTACAGTTATTAATAGTTTAGAATTATTAATTTTTTTGTTACAAACACGATTTTTAATTATTATTATTATTATTATTATTATTATTATTATTATTATTATTATTATTATTATTATTATTATTATTATGAGATAATTTATTGTAAGTTTTCGTGAAAATCAAAAATTCAAAATAAACAAAGTCGATATAAAAAACTTTTATCTTATTGTTAATTAATTATCAAACTTAATTTTTGTATTTTTTTCAGTAAATGTTGGTGAGTAAATAAAGATTTTTGTTCAAAAATTTGTAATGAAAATTTCTACTTTTATTTATCGTCATATTTTTTATCATTATTCATTCAGCAAAAATTCAATTAAAAAACAACAATATAAAATAATAAATAAAATATTGAAATAAAATTTAAACCCTTTGTTTTACTATTTGAGATAAAAACAAATATTGACGTGTAATAATAATATTTAATTTTATTTATATTGTGTAAATTTTATTCTGTAAGCAAATATTATAATAACATGCGTATAAATATATAAATTTTGATATTACGTTGATTTATTGTAGGTAAATAATTGTGAATGTAATTTATAATGAAAATTAAAGGAAAAAACAAACGTGGCGAACAAACGTTTGGGTGAATTGTATAAATATTTATCTAAATGTTTCTTTTGTTTTGGAATTTAAACATTTATTGAAGAGCACACATATATATATACACAACATCCGCTCTCTCAATTTATTTGCAATGCACTGTTGATCGAATAATTGAAAGGCCAATTTTAACTATTTACAGTGTCAATTTTAGAGTGAAACTGGAAAATTAGCCGCGACTCCACACAATGCGAACACAATTCATTCTCTAAATCAAAATTTAAATTGCTTTTAATATTAATTATCATTTTTTTTAATTTTCATATTTTTTATCTCCAAATAACACAAATTTCAAAAATATTTCAATTATTATTCCAATAAAATTATTATTATTACTTTAAAATTATTTTTTTATATTTTTCTACTAACAATTTTAATACAAATTTCTTTTTTTAACAATAACCAATTGTTAGATCAGATTACTCTTATAGTTATTTATTTATTAATAATAATTATAGTAATTACAACAATTAATTATTTTTTACTAATTATTCAAGCAAAAAGTCGGCCACGATTAATAATATTTTTTTTTAACTAATTCATATTTAGTGAGTGGTCATTAAAGAATTTAATGTCAGATTTTAAAAATTCAAAATGACGGATCCAATATGGCGACCAAATTTTAAAAATACTTAGACAATTTTAACGATTTAAATTAATTATTATAAACTTTTTAAGTGTATTTTGAATTATTAGATTGCATAAATAATTAAATTTAATTTATTCCATAAATCAATATTTTTAAATATTCTGTTATATCGAATAATTTTCGTTTTAAATAATACAAAAAAATCTTTTTTACTTTTTATCGAAAATTATATAAAATTCATTTAATTCTAAATTTTTAAAGAAATTTTGTGCCAGACATATTGTTTCTAATTATTAAAAGAGGAATTTAATTATTTCTATCAAATTATCAGTATACTCAAGCTTTTTCCTTTTTTAAAAATCCTTATTTAAATATTAACCTATTTAAATATTGATCACTTGAACATAAATTGACTTTTAATTATAATAAAAATAGAGAGAGAAAGAATAATTCAAATAAAGGAAAAATTGTTCAAAAATTATCATACACATTATAGAACATGAGATAAAAAAGAATTCTAGGTTAAGTAGATACATCCGAAAATTAATAATTCTTTTAACAAATATTTTTTAAAATTCACGTATATTGAACATTTTTTATTTAATAATAACGTTGCGTATGTAGATTTTTATTCTGTCTTTAAATATTTGCATTCAAACAAATACTGAAACTGGATACATTAATTATACTAAAAGAATTTAACTGTAAATTTTAATAAAACAAACAATTTCAAACAATTTCAATATTTCAAGGAGATTTTATTTACATATTTATACAATATTATAGGAAATTTTTACTAATTTCAATTAGAATTTATTAATTAATTAGTAATAATTCACTGAGACAAATGATTCATCGTGACTTTTATTTTGTTTGTAAAAAAAAAAGCTGCTAATTATTGAAAGTTATACATTGAAAAAAATTTATTTGATTCAAATAATCGATTACTGACGATACTCAATAAATGATTATTTGTAGTGAATTTTTTTTTTATTTAAGTCAATTAAATGTTACTTTGCTTCAAATATTCAAATTATTGATTCAAATAAAATATATTTGATTTTGATAAATATTATTTTTGAATCAAGTAAATATTTATTGCATTTAAATAAATATTTAATGGATTTAAGTAAATATTCATTGGATTCAACAAAATATTTATTGGATTCAAGTAAATATCTTTTTCATTCAAGTAAATATTTATTAGATTCAAGTAAACATTTACTGAATTCAAGTAAAAATTTATTGCATTCAAGTATTTTTTTTATTCAAATAAATATTTATTAAATTCAAGTAAACATTTACTACTTTAAAATAAATATTTATTGGATTTAAGAAAATATTTATTGGATTGAAGTAAATATCTTTTTGATTAAAGTAAATATTTATTAGATTAAAAAAAATATTTATTAGATTCAAGTAAATATTTACTGGATTCCAGAAAATATTGATTGGATTCAATAAAATATTTATTCCATTTAAGTAAATATTCATTGGATTTAAGTATTTTTTTTATTCAAGTAAATATTTATTAGATTCAAGTAAACATTTACTGAATCTAAGTAAAAACTTATTGGATTCAAGTAAATTATCTTTTTCATTCGAGTAAATATTTATTAGATTGAAGTAAATATTTATTGAATTCAAGTATTTTTTTATTTAAGCAAATATTTATTAGATTTAAGTAAAAATTTATTTGAATTTAAGTAAAAATTTATTAGATTCAAGTAAATATTTACTGGTATCAAGTAAATATTCATCGGATTCAAGTAAATATTTTTTAAATTCATGTAAACATTTACTGAATTTAAATAAAAATTTATTGGATTAAAGTAAATTATCTTTCTTATTCATGTAAGTATTTATTAGATTCAAGTAAATAAATTACTTAATTCAAGTAAAAATTTATTGCATTCAAGTATTTTTTTTATTCAAGTAAATATTTATTAGATTTAAGTAAAAATTTATTAGATTCAAGTAAATATTTACTGATATCAAGTAAATATTCATCGGATTCAAGTAAATATTTTTTAAATTCATGTAAACATTTACTGAATTTAAATAAAAATTTATTGGATTCAAGTAAATTAACTTTTTTATTCATGTAAGTATTTATTAGATTCAAGTAAATAAATTACTTAATTTAAGTAAAAATTTATTGAATTCAAGTATTTTTTTTATTCAAGTAAATATTTATTAGATTTAAGTAAAAATTTATTGAATTTAAGTAAAAATTTATTAGATTCAAGTAAATATTTACTGGTATCAAGTAAATATTCATCGGATTCAAGTAAATATTTTTCAAATTCATGTATACATTTACTGAATTTAAATAAAAATTTATTGGATTCAAGTAAATTAACTTTTTTATTCATGTAAGTATTTATTAGATTCAAGTAAATAAATTACTTAATTTAAGTAAAAATTTATTGAATTCAAGTATTTTTTTTATTCAAGTAAATATTTATTAGATTCAAGTAAACTTTTCCTCAATTTAAGTAAAAATTTATTGTATTCAAGTAAATATCTTTTTCGTTCAAGTAAATATTTATTAGATTCAATAAAATATTTATTCCATTCAAGCAAATATTCATTGAATTCAAGTATTTTTTTTATTCAAGTAAATATTTATTACATTGAAGTAAACATTTATTGAATTTAAATAAAAATTTATTGGATTCAAGTAAATATTTACTGGTTTTAAGTAATTCAGGTATTTTTTTTATTCAAGTAATTTTTTTTTAGATTTACAGAATTT